TTCAGTTGAAATCTGCACCTCCAAGGGGATCAATAGGTAACAATTTGTCACCCCACATGGAGTTACCCACACAGGTCACAACACTGGATTCGTTGCAATTAAGGAAGAAACCAATGTTATTTAACCACAAGGGTAGATTTCAAGTGAGTACAAGAGATGAGACATCAAAGTGAGAAATGGTGACAAGAAAAAGAAATATAAAACCACTTCCTAGTACTAAACTGAACAAACTAGACGTGGTTCAAAGTGAAGTCCCTTAACACAGGTTTGCAGTGGCATTGCTGACCACGTTTTCAGCTCCGGATCAGTTCCTGGGGTCCAAGCGCTGTTTTTGTTTTCTTTTCTTTCTTTTTTTTTGTCCTCTCAGGTGAAAACGAGAGCTGGACAGGGAGAGATAACAAGGGGTGTTTTGGGCCCTTTCTTTTATAGTTCAATCACCTTTGAAATGGATTTTTCTCAGAGTGACTCCGAGATAAACCTCTCCTCAGCTGAGTGGGGAGACATGAACGTTGGCCAGAAGGGGTTTCATGCTGTTGTTTGCTAAGATGCAGATCTTTTTGTTCCTGTATTTTCAGGTCTGAAATCTGTGAAAAGCCCTTGTCACAGTCAGCACAGCTGTATGGCCGCTCCCCAGTGTGTACACGCTGGTGTCTTCTCAGGGCTGAAATCCGTGAAAAGCTCTTGCCGCAGTAAACACAGCTGTATGGCTACTCCCCAGTGTGTACGCGCTGGTGTCTTCTTAGGGCTGAAATCCGTGAAAAGCTCTTGCCGCAGTCAGCACAGCTGTACGGCCGCTCCCCTGTGTGCATGCGCTGGTGTATTTTCAGGTGTGCAATCTGTGAAAAGCCCTTGCCGCAGTCAGCACAGGTGTACGGCCGCTCCCCAGTGTGCGTGCGCTGGTGTATTTTCAGGCATGAAATCTGTGAAAAGCCCTTGCCACAGTCAGCACAACTGTACGGCCGCTCCCCTGTGTGCGTGCGCTGGTGTATTTTCAGGTGTGCAATCTGTGAAAAGACCTTGGCACAATCAGCACAGCTGTATGGCCGCTCCCCAGTGTGTACGTGCTGGTGTCTTCTCAGGGCTGAAATCTGTGAAAAGCCCTTGCCGCAGTCAGCACAGGTGTATGGCCACTCCCCTGTGTGCGTGCACTGGTGTATTTTCAGGTGTGCAATCCGTGAAAAGCCCTTGCCGCAGTCAGCACAGGTGTACGGCCGCTCCCCTGTGTGCGTGCGCTGGTGTATTTTCAGGCATGAAATCTGTGAAAAGCCCTTGCCGCAGTCAGCACAGCTGTACGGCCGCTCCCCTGTGTGCATGCGCTGGTGTATTTTCAGGTGTGCAATCCGTGAAAAGACCTTGGCACAATCAGCACAGCTGTATGGCCGCTCCCCAGTGTGTACATGCTGGTGTCTTCTCAGGGTTGAAATCCGTGAAAAACTCTTGCCGCAGTCAGCACAGGTGTATGGCCGCTCCCCTGTGTGCGTGTCAGCACAGTGGTAGAGCTGTTCCCTGCTATGCGTGCGCTGATGCTTAGTCAGTGTACTGGCACTGCTCTGCCCACATTCAGACTGTGTCCTCGTTTCTCCCGGGATCCCGTGCCCTGCTGGAGAGAGCAGAGGCCAGTTAGCTCATCATTAGGGCTGCAGGTTTGTCAAGGAAGGAAGGAAAAATGTCACAGACGGAGCCATTTCCCCACTTCTCAGTGACTGTTTTCGGGATGTGAACCTCTGCCTGCAATGGCGGCTCCTGTCTCCCAGGGCTGGGCCCAATGCCTCGCTCCAGGCACTGAGACCTGGCCTGCGGGGTTACAGCGCCACTCAGATTTGCCCCCG